GCTTCAGATTTCGATATATCTCCGATTTAATGTAAATGGTGCACCAAAGTCCCTTTTTATACCCATCACAACTATGTTGTCAGGGTGTTAACACTATAAAGACTGGAATTTTGTATATACCTATATTGCCTAAAATCGGTCAAAATTACCTCATTCTGAAAGAATTTTTATTTTGTAAAGAAATTTTTTTGAATTTATTTTACAATCATACACAACATTGTTATTATTTGTTTTCGGCGGGAGAGCTCCCGAGTTTCCCTTTTCAAAAAATAAGAACACTGACAAAATGTTCCGAGTTTCCCTTTTCGAAAAATAAGAACGCGGACAAAATGTTCAAAAAAGAGGAAGTCTTTACTCTAAGAGTGAAATCGACTGGAAATATAAAATTTATTTCTTTCCGATTTGTGTGTTCGTTTGTGTTTCTAGAGTAGCAAACGGTTTTCGATGTTGTTGTACTGATCTGGTCATATAAGAAATTTACTTTATACAATAAAAAAAGTAGTTTCATTATTTAATATTTCACAAGAGGTCAAAATTACCGATTTTAGGCCATATAGGTATAGCACATGTGAATACGGGGAATGAAAGAGGGGAGGAAGCAGCTACTATGATTAATAAACCTATTTCTACGTGGTACAAAAAATCACCAAATTTTAAAAAGCTGTGTCATAATATACACAATTGTTTTTGTACTTGAAATTGAAGAATCGTCAAAATGACTGCTTTCGGCAATCTAGTGTTATAGATTTGTGCAGCTTCAAAAGTTTGTAACGCCGCGAAATATTGGCCCTAGACCCACTTTTAAGTATACCGATCGTCATATCTTGACTAGCTGAGTCGATCTAGACATGTGTGTCCGTCCGTCTGTCCATTATAATTTGTAAAAACGGTAAAGGCCACAGTTATGGGCTAATCTTCACAAAATTTTGCGTGTAGGATGGGTTCGGGCCAATGAAGACCCCTATTGTTTTGGTAAAGATCGGTTAATATTTAGGTGATGAAATGGACCAAATACTTAATTTTTTATCGGTTTTTCTAGTCGCTCCACAGGCCTCAATTACGTCCCAAACACCGCGAATTTTTGCATGGAGAAGGGGATGGGGCCAAGGAATAAGCATGTCTGTTTTGATAAAGATCGCTCAATATATAGCGGATCAAATGGACCCTGACTTTTGTATGAAAAATTGCAAAATTTGTATTCTATAGCGTATATATTTACCGCTGAAGGACATAGATCCGAGAAGTTGATAGTATACCCAAAAGGACTGGTTAACCTTTAAATTGATTGCAATTATATTGTACTCGGTTGTAGGAGTACAATATAATTCCACATCCGAGCATGTACTCGTATGTGGGAGTTACACGTAAATATTTACAGGTGCTTACGAATTCAGATATTATTTAGTAACCCATTACCACACTAGCGGGCTGAAATATAGCGCTGATCGCTTTGAAATTTTCCATGAGGTTCCAGATATGGTCAAGGACAACGCCTATAGTTTTCGGTGATGATCAGATAATAATTTTGGGATAAAGTGGACCGAAAATCTAACTTTTTGTATTTTTTTAGGGTCGATTGTTAGATTTTCGTTTAAGTTGTATAGGGTATCATATGGTCAGCCCCGTCCGACTATCCTGCTCCGGTCACTGGTTTTGTATATCGAGTCCTTGTGTGTAGCTTCGTCAATTGCAAACTAAATAGCACAAGAAGAGATTTTTTGACCATCAAATAATCTGCAAAAATTTCAGTCATAAGATCTCAATATTCTTATTTTTTCTATTTTCGGAAAACTTCATATCTCTTATGAAGAAGTGTCGGATTCGTATGACATATTTTGGTAAATATTAAATCTCATTATGCCAAACTCGTTAATAAAATGTATTAGAATTTTTGGAACCCGTTTTTTATACCCACCACCACAAGGTGGAGTTTATATTAAATTTGTCACTCCTGCGACCCTATAAGGTATATATATATATATATATATATATATTTTTGATCGGAATAAAATTCTATGTCGATTAATGAGTGCCTGTCTGCTTAAATCGATTTAGCCTCCATATAACAACACCAACCAATATTCGATATTTTGGGAATTTCTGACAGTATTTTGGGGTCTCATTGTAAAGCACATGCACGTAGCAATAATTATTACTATTGACTAATGTTTCAGGGATTTTGGAAACGTTTTTAATCAATTTGGCTGTAATTTGGTATTTTTGGTTTTCATTGTGTAACACATCCTTGTACTAAAATGATTAATATTGAACCAAGTTTGAGGGTAGTCCCCATATGATACCCTTCACCACTTTGGGTATTTTTCAGTTTTTTTTTTTTTTTTTTTTTTTGATTCCATTAAAAATAATTGTTTTGATTTGATCTTTATCAATAAATGAACCGACTTACATCAATCCATATACATGCTTCTCTGCAACCTATGCTAAATTTCAATGGGACAAATTTGGATAAATCGACTTATAGCATAGAAATTCAGTACGCTATACAAATTTCGTGCAAATCGAAAGAAATGTAGAGGCTTTGGTACACCTTTTACACAAAATCGGATGAATGTGAACTATATCCAAATCTGAACCGATTTCCACGAAACTTGGCAGACATGACTCCAGACGCAATTCAGAACGCTGTGCCAAATTTCGTGCAAATAGAAAGATATATATAGGGTCTTGTCTAAATCGGATGAAAATATATATGGGAGCTATAACTAAATCTGAACCGATTTTCACGAAACTTCGCAGACATCATTCTAGGCTTAATGGGAGCTATCTCTAAATCTGAACCGATTTTCACGAAATTTAACACTCACTGTTCTAGACTTAATTCAGTAGGCTGTGCCAAATTTCGTGCAAATCGAAAGATATTTAGGGACTTTCGTACACCATTTACATTAAATCAGACGAAAATATATATGGGAGCTATATCTAAATCTGAACCGATTTTTAGGAAACTTAACACACATTATTCTAGACCTAATGACATATAGGGACATTTATATAAAATCGGACGACACTATATATGGGAGCTATATCAAAATCTGAACCGATTTTCACCAAACTCAGCACACATCATTCTGCACTTAATACAGAACGCACTGCCAAATTTCGTGCAAATATAGGGACTTTGGTGCACCATTTACGTAAAATCGGACGAAACTATATATGTGAGCTATATCTAAATCTGAACCGATTTTCACGAAACTTGGCACACATCATTCTAGGCTTAATTTAGTACGCTGTGCCAAATTTCGTGCAAATCGAAAGATATTTAGGGACTTTCGTACACCATTTACCTTAAATTGGACGAAAATATATATGGGAGCAATATCTAAATCTCAACCGATTTTTGCCAATTTCAATAGGGTTTGTCGTTGGGCCAAATGAATGAGCTGTGCCAAATGTCAAATGTTTGTTCACAATTTAATATGGACAGACGGAGGGACGGACATGCATAAATTGACTTAGAAAGTGATTCTATGCATATTCTCAAAAGGAACCATATGTCTATCTCGTTTCCTTTTGTCGGTTGCAAACATATGCACAAAGACATAATACCCTGTACCACAGTATGGTGAAGATAATAAAAACCAGTAAGGAAAGCTTAAAATTCGGACGGGGCCGATAATATGATACCCTTCACCACTTTGGGTACATTTAAGAGATGCTCATATGTACAATATCCTGTAGATAGAATAAAACGTGGAATTTTGTACTCGAAATTTTGTTGGAATCGGTTTATATAGTTCCCATATATAATCTCGTCCGATTTTATGTAATTGCGGTTCCAAAGAGCCTATGTTTGTTCGATTTACACGAAATTTGACAGAGGTCATTTAATAGAGTTTAGAATGATGTGTGTTATAGTATATTAAAATCGGTTGAGATTTAGATATAAACCCCATATACATTTTCGTCCGATATGTAAATGGTAAACCGAAGATTTTTTCTTTCCTTTCCTTGGTTAAAATTGGTTTCCATCCCTGATTTATAGCGTAACTTATGTCGACCATAGAATAGCCTCCATACCATTGCAGAAGCCACATTCAAATAATATACTGACAATCGAAAAAGTTGGAACAGTTTAGATTGTTGCACTTATAGATACACAGGAAATGTGTTCCAAAACTGGATTTCAAAAAATGTAAAAAAATGTTTTTTGTTTGTCCAGAAAAGGGGATTTCACCCATATATCAGGTAAATCCCACCTCCATCTAACCCAATATTTATGCTGTGAATTGTGTATGTGTGTGTGTGTTTTTTTTTTTCAAATTCAAAATTAATGTATTTTCGATTTGTTGTTGACAGCATTAGGCAATGGCGAATTTTAAGTTTCACATGTCAGTGTGCATGAATATTCAAATTGCGGCCAATTATGAATTAAAGATAGAGGCTTTATTTGACATTACTGCACTTAGAAAAAGAAACAACAACAACAAAAATATACAGCTTAATCTAAAAAAACTTTTGAACCATAGAATTGATAATCAAAAATGTTTGTTTGTCATATAAAAAAAATTATATGTATTTATTTGAAAATTTTCACAACCGAATTGGACAGTATCATTGCAGTTGTTATTGAAGAAGGTATATCTTTACAAAACTAAGCAAATGGACGTGAAAGGTAAAATAGAAAAATAATATGAAAAATAAATAATGTAAATAGTAATATAATTGATTTTATTATTGTTAAATAATGAGGCTTAAGCACAGTTTGTTGTTTTTATAAACAACTATTTATTGGTGGGGAATGCATGGCATCCTCCAAGGCGTGAGGCAGGGAAGACTATAGTTTAAGATCTCACGACTGATAACTTAATTCATTTTTTTTTTTCATTTCAGCCTGTTTACCAATAATTTTGGGCATTTTCGTGCTATGCCTGACCAGGATATCAGCAACTTCCCCAAATTCTCTTGAATTCCATTCTAGTTTGGAGAATTTTAGTAAAGATATTATGAGTGAAATTTTCTCAAAAAACCCTCACAAAAATATCATATTTTCACCATTTTCAATACAAACCTGTTTGGCAATGGTACGTATGGGAGCTGATGGCCAAACGGCTGCGGAAATTGATGACGGCTTGGGATTTACTGGTCAACCCATGGAAAAAGTGGCAGACAATTACCACTCCCTTTTGGCGAAATACGAAGATGGCAAAACATTAAAAATTGCCAATAAAATTTATGTTGCCAAAAATTATCAACTGGAAAACAATTACAACGACATAGTGGCGAACAATTTCTTTTCATCACTGGAAAATGTGGATTTTTCCGAAAGTGAAAAGACAGCAAAATTAATGAACGACTGGGTTGAAACTAAAACCGATAAGGCAATTCATGACATCATCAATCCGCAAGCGCTTAGCAATGATACCCGTCTTATGTTACTCAGTGCAATTTATTTCAAAGGCAATTGGGATAAACCATTCGATGTGAAAAATACCAAGGAAGCTGATTTTTATATTGATGATCAGAAAAGCGTTAAAGTGCAAATGATGTACAAGGCAGGAATGATGCCATTTAGAGATATTCAAGAATTGGATGCCTGTGCCATACGTCTGCCATATAAAGACACTGATCTTTCTATGGTTATTATTTTACCCAACTCTCGTACAGGTTTGCCAACATTAATGGAGAAACTAAAATCATTTTCCTTGGCATCGCTGGAGGGACAAGGGCTGCGCAGGAGAGGTGTGCGTCTTTCTTTGCCCAAGTTTAAGGCCGAGTTTGAAGTTGTTCTCAATGGACCATTGAAAAAGGTAATATTTTAAAATTATTGATACACATGTTGAATGGGGCGGAACTTGTATATCGAGACTATTTTCTCCACCAAGAAATCCACATCGATATTTTACTTTGATCGATCCTATTATTGATTTGTTTCCATATTTTTGCATATCTCTAAATTTTTGTTTTTCCCCCTTTTCCAGCTTGGTATGAAACAAATGTTCTCTCAGGCAAACCTAAGTAAAATGTTGAAATCCAACGAGCCGCTTCAGGTATCCGATGTTGTACACAAAGCCTTCATAGATGTCAATGAAGTGGGAACAACTGCCGCTGGTGTTACACGTATGAAAAAAAGCGCACACAAATATATTTATGGGATAATTATATTTATATGTTTCTTCTTATTATTTTAGGCATTGGTATTATGACCCGTACCCGACCCGCTGATTTCATAGCTGATCATCCATTTTACTATGCAATAGTGAACGAAAATTCGGTTCCACTGTTCCAAGGAACTTTTATTGGAAAATAAATCAAGAATGAATATATATTTTAGATTTGGAATATAATAAAATTATTTGAACATATATTATATATGGGAGCTATATCTAAATCTGAACGGATTTCAACAATACTTTGCATACCTCAATCTTGTCTTAATTCCGTACGCTGTGCATAATGTTGTCGCAATCGGACGAATATTGGGAGTTTGGATATTTATTGAGACGAGTATTGGTCTAGTTCGGTAAACTGAGCAAAATTGTGTCTCAATCGGAAAGACGTACGGACGGACGGATGGACGGAAATCGACTCCAATAGTTATTCTATGAATATTCTCAAAAGGAACCATGGGTCTATCTCGATTCCTTTTGCCTGTTACAAACATATGTACAAAGACATAAAACCATGTACCACAGTGCGGTGAGGGGTATAAAAATGTTGACATTTTGTGGAGAAAGTATCAGAAGTTTGATCTGTGTCTGGTAAATACATTACAATGTTCACTTGCAACGTTTAAAATTTTTAAACCTTTGTCGAGAAAGTACTAGAAGGAGTGGACCGATAAGTCCCATTTCCCATATGGATTAGGTTGTACAAAGTTTGGTTTGATATTATAAAATTACCATATCGTAAAGTTGCAAAGTTTTGGTTCAAATTGAGTAGGCCGTTCGCATGATATTATAAAATTAATAGTCAGCAAGGAGACGACCGATTCAGAAGGAATGGACCCATTTTCCCCATCTATGAACATAGTTTGATTTTGAAAGAAATATTACGATTTGCCAAATCTGGATGAAATCGGTTACCCCTTTCGAGATTTATCGTGCGCACCAGGCGGTCAGACAGACATACGGAATAAATATATATAAATACAGATTTGGAATATAATAAAATTATTTTGAACATATATTATATATGAGAGCTACATCTAAATCTGAACCAATTTCAACAAAACTTTGCATACATGAATCTGGCCTTAATTCCGTACGCTGTGCAAAATCATTATAAAATGACCATATCGTAAAGTTGCAATGTTTTGGTTCAAATTGAGTAGGGCGTTTGCATGATATTATAAAATTAATATTCAGCAAGGAGTAGACCGATCCAGAAGGAATGGATCCATTACGATTTGCCAAATCTGGATGAAATCGGTTACCCCTTTCGAGATTAATCGTGCGCACCAGGCGGTCAGACAGACATACGGACGGACATTTGTAAATACACTCCAAATAGCCTGAAACGGATGTGGTCCGAAGAAACGGGTGGTCTAAACCAATATATGGATGTACCACACTGTGGTACAGGGTATTATGTCTTTGTGCATATGTTTGTAACAGGTAAAATGAAACGAGAGAGACACATGGTTCCTTTTGAGAATATGCTTAGAATCACTTTCTGAGTCGATTTACGCATGTCCGTCTGTCTGTCCGTCCGTCCGTCCGACCATGTATTTTTGTGAACAAAGTGCAGGACGCATTTATGATCCGATTTGGATGAAATTTGGCATAGGTCACTTATTTGGCCCATGGTCGAACCCTATTGAAATTGGGAAAAATCGGTTCGGATTTAGATATAGCTCCCATATATATATTCGTCAGATTTAATGTAAATGGTGTACCAAAGTCCCTATATATCTCTCAATTTGCACGAAATTTGACACAGCGTAATGCATTAGGTTTAGAATGATGTGTGTTAAGTTTCATGAAAATCGGTTCAGTTTTAGATATAGCTCTCATATATATTTTCGTCCGATTTAATGTAAATGGTCCAACAAAGTCCCTATATATATATTTCGATTTGTACGAAACTTGGCACAGCGTAATGAATTAGGTCTAGAATGATGTGTGTTAAGTTTCATGAAAATCGGTTCAGATTTAGATATAGCCCCCATATATATTTTCATCCGATTTAATGTAAATGGTGCACCAAAGTCCCTATATATCTTTCGATTTGCACGAAATTTGGCACAGCGTACGGAATAAAGTCTAGAATGATGTGTGTTAATTTTCGTGAAAATCGGTTCAGATTTAGATATAGCTCCGATATATAGTTTCGTCCGATCTAATGTAAAAGTCCCTATATATCTTTCGATTTGCACGAAATTTGGCATAGCGTAATGAATTAGGTCTAGAATGATGTGTGTTAAGTTTCCTGAAAATCGGTTCAGATGTAGATATATGGGTTCAGCTTACAAAGCAATATTGATTATTTCTTTCAGGTGCTAATCTACCCAATGGAAACCCAAACCAACCCAAGCCATCGCTTAACTACTGAATAATAGTAATAAATATTTTAAAGTTATCATTCCGGATTTCGATAACCTTATAGGCTAATATACCTGACATTCTGAAAAAAAATCTTATCCCGCGAAGTCGATCACCATGTTCTATGGTTCAGCCAGTTCAAACTATACAAAGAAGTCAACTGCTGCTATAAGTATAAAAAATCAGAATTCGATTTGGAACTAATTAAAAAAAGTTCTTTGGACAAGTTTCATCACCTTTAATGATGGTTAAAAACTACTTGCATTAAAATTACATAGATCAAATTTGGAACTGAAAAAAAAAAAAACAATATTTAATGCTCTTCAATTTTTATATTTTTCATATTAATATATTCTCTCTATACTTGGTTTATTTTCCAACAAATACTCCCTCAATTAAAGGTACAAAATCCTTATTCAAAATCGCATAATAAAATGGTCCATCGGCGCTAAACCTGAAGAACGGGTTATTACGGCTATAATGGTCTGCAGCTGAAAGATTAAATTAATTTTTTTAACAATTAGATATTTATTACCTTCTAAATTATGAACTTACTTGATGCAGGAGGAGCTGGATTTCCTGCCTCGCCAACTTCAATGGTTGTTTGATGAATTATTTCGGTGACGGCTAAGGGTTCGGAGGACGCCAGCATTTGACCAAAATCTCCACTTTCGAATATTTTTGTTAAACCCATCTGGAAATTATGACAATTTAAATATTAACATACATATTAAAAAATATTCACATATTGTCTTAAAATGCTTGAAAGGTGTAATTAAATTTCATACCCACCTTCTTTAGGCTCTCACTTAAATTGCCACTAAATTCCACCTTAAATTTCGGCATACGAAATTCAATTCTCTTTCTTTGAAAGACACTGTTTGCAACAAATGATGGCATATCCAACGACTTCATTGTATTCAGAACTTTATCTAAACCATCGGCACGGAATGGCACCACAATCAACATTGATAGACCAGAATCCTGATATGGCAACAATATCGCACCAGCATTCATTGCCGACTGTCTGCCATAACGGAAATATGAACGAACTTTCATCATGGGTAACATTATGTAGTTATCATTCTCATCTATGTAGAATTTATCGGGTTTGGTCCATTTCTCATTGAATTCCGTTTTCCATTTGCCATTAAAATTCACTGTGCTCACAAGCAGCAAATCTGTGGTGGGTTTTAAATTCTCCTCTAAATCTGCTATTGCGTTTCCAGTTTTTGAGTCGACCCAATGATTTATTGTCTCAGCAGTCTCCTTTGTTTTTTTAAAATCTATATTCTCCACATTTGTAAAGAATTGGCTGGAGAGTATTGCCTCAAAGTCTTTATTTATGGGATGTTTATTTATGACATACATTTTGTTGGCCAGTTTTAAAACATTGCTACTCGTATACTTTTTTAATTCGTTGTGGTATGTATCAATTATGAAACTGAAGTCTTTACTTGTGTTATTCAAAACTTGGTCTAAATTTTGTGCTGTTTCTCCCTCAGCTCCCATGCGAATCATAGCAAGGCATGTCTCCACAGCTAATGGGGACACTGCAATATTTTTAGCAGATTTTGTTTGAATCACCTCCTTCAATAAGGAGCTACCAAAGCTACCCTGAAAGGTAGCAATTGTCAAGGAAGATATCATCCCAATTACGAACAGAAGTGTAAACATATTTGCTACAATAAAAAATCCAAAAAATAAATAAAATCCAAAATTAAAAAATCCAATAAATAAAAAAAGTTCTTTAAAAAATACAATAAATATAAAAATATTCCTTTAAAAAATCCAAGTTTTGTATATGCCCCTTAAAAAATATTCCTTTATTATTTCATATATTCCACGCCTTGTATTTGTCCCTTAATAATATTCCTTTATTATTTCATATATTCCACGCCTTGTATTTGTCCCTTAATAATATTCCTTTATTATTTCATATATTCCACGCCTTGTATTTGTCCCTTAATAATATTCCTTTAAAAATCCACGCCTTGTATTTGTCCCTGAAAAAAAAATCTTTAAAAACTACATGCCGTTTGTTAGTCCTTTTCCTATTCTTTAAACCAGTAAGGAAAGTAGTAAAGTCGGACTGGGCCGACTATATGATACCCTTCACCACTTTGGATATATTCAACATATGTATTCTAAAAGACGTCGACTTTTCAAAGGAACATTGACATGAAATTGAACGAACTTAAATATGTGATCTTTATCTATATCTAAACCGACTAACATCAATCCCTACACATGTCCTTCTGCAACCTATGCTAAATTTTGTATATCGATTTAAAGCAAAATTGACACACGCTATTCGGTATGCTGCACTGTTGAAAATTTAATCACAATCAAACACTCATTGATTATTTGGTGTACGATAAACATGAATAAGTCAAAATTGTATATGGAAGCTATGCTATATCTATATCTGAACCGATTTCAAGGAAACTTGCCAGAGATTAATTTATATTAACTTCAGTACGTTGTATCAATCGGCCTAGGGGTCTTTAGTGCAACATTTACTTAAAATCGGACAAAAATATATATAGGAGGTGTTTGTAAATCTGATACGATTTTCACGAAACTTTGCACACATCATTCTAGATGTAATTCAGTACGCTATACAAAAATCGAAAGACATAAGGAGGGCTTTGGAGCAGCATTTACATAAAATGGGACGAAAATTTATATGAGAGATATATCTAAATCTGAATCGATTTTCACGAAACACACATTATTCCAGACTTAATTTAGTACACTATGTCAAAATCCTCATATAAGGGAGCTATATCTAAATCCGAACCGATTTTAACGAAACTTAGCACATGTTATTCTAGACTTAATTTACTACGCTATGCCAAATTCGTGGAAATCGAAAGATTTCCAGGGACTTTGATGGAACATTAACCTAAAATCAGGCGAAACTATATATGGGAGCTATATCTAAATCTGAACCGATTTTCCCGAAATATAGCACTCATCATTGTCGACTTAATTCAGTACGCTGTGCCAAAATTCGTGCAAATCTAATGATTTTCAGGGACTTTGGTGCACCATTTACCTAAAATCGGGCGAATCAATATATGGGAGCTATATCTAAATCTGAACCGATTTTCCCGAAATTTAGAACACATCGTTGTCGACTTAATTCAGTACGCTATGCCAAAATTTGTGCAAATCTAATGATCTTGAAGGACTTTGGTGCACCATTTGCCTATCTAAATCTAAACCGATTTACTCCAATTTCAATAGGGTTCGTCCTTGGGCCAAACCAATGGGCTGTGCCAAATTTCATCCAATTCGGATCATAAATGCGACTTGTACTCTGCTCACAAAAATACATGGACGGACGGACAGACGGATGGACGGACGGACAGACGGACATGCACAAATCGACTCAGAATATGATTCTATGCATATTCTCAAAAGGAACCATGGATCTATCTCGATTCCTTTTGCCTGTTACAAACATATGCACAAAGACATAATACCCTGTACCACAGTGTGGTGAAGGCTATAAAAATCCACGCCGTTTGTTGGTCCTTTCCTAAAATATTCTTTAAAAAATCCACGCCGTTTATTGGTCCTTTCCTAAAATATTCTTTAAAAAATCCACGCCTTGTATTGGTCCCTGAAAAATATTCCTTAAAGAATCCACGCCTTGTATCAGTCCCTGAAAAAAATATTCTTTAAAAAATCCACGCCTTGTATTGGTCCCTGAAAAATATTCCTTAAAGAATCCACGCCTTGTATCAGTCCCTGAAAAAAAATATTCTTTAAAAAATCCACGCCTTGTTGGTTGGTCCCTGAAAAAAAATATTCTTTAAAAAATCCACGCCTTGTATTGGTCCCTGAAAAAAAATATTCTTTAAAAAATCCACGCCTTGTATTGGTCCCTGAAAAAAAAATATTCTTTAAAAAATCCACGCCTTGTATTGGTCCCTGAAAAATATTCCTTAAAGAATCCACGCCTTGTATCAGCCCCTGAAAAAAATATTCTTTATATTGTATTGGTCCCTGGTCCCTGAAAAATATTATTTAAAAAATCCACGCCTTGTATTGGTCCTTGAAAAATATTCGTTTAAAAATCCACGCCTTGTATTTGTCCCTTAAAAAATATTCTTTAAAAATCCACGCATTTTATTGGTCCCTGAAAAATATTCGTTTAAAAATCCACGCCTTGTATTTGTCCCTTAAAAAATATTCTTTAAAAATCCACGCCTTTTATTGGTCCCTGAAAAATATTATTTAAAAATTCCACGCCTTGTATTGGTCCTTGAAAAATATTCGTTTAAAAATCCACGCCTTGTATTTGTCTCTTAAAAAAATTCTTTGAAAAATCCACGCCTTTTATTGGTCCCTGAAAAATATTCTTTAAAAAATCCACGCCTTGTATTGGTCCCTGAAAAATATTCTTTAAAAAATCCACGCCTTGTATTGGTCCCTGAAAAATATTCTTTAAAAAATCCACGCCTTGTATTGGTCCCTGAAAAATATTCTTTAAAAAATCCACGCCTTGTATTGGTCCCTGAAAAATATTCTTTAAAAAATCCACGCCTTGTATTGGTCCCTGAAAAATATTCTTTAAAAAATCCACGCCTTGTATTGGTCCCTGAAAAATATTCTTTAAAAAATCCACGCCTTGTATTGGTCCCTGAAAAATATTCTTTAAAACATCCACGCCTTGTATTGGTCCCTGAAAAATATTCTTTAAAAAATACACGCCGTTTGTTGGTCTTTGGTAAATATTCTTTAAAAAATCCACGCCCTGTATCAATCTCTGAAAAAAATATTCTTAAAAAAACCCACGCCTTGTATCAATCTCTGAAAAAAATATTCTTAAAAAACTCCACGCCTTGTATTTGTCCCTTAAAAATATTTTTTAAAAACCCCACATCTTGTATTTGTCCCTTAAAAATATTCTTTAAAAATGCCACGCCTTGTATTTGTTCCTTAAAAATATTTTTTAAAAACTCCACGCCTTGTATTGGTGCCTGAAAATTATTCTTTATAAAATCCACACCCTGTATTGGTCCCCGGAAAATATTCTTTATAAAATCCCTATACAAATATTCTTTAAAAAAATCCAAAATACCCCTTTTTAAACCTCATTATATTAAAAATTAAGAAATATGTGGTACTTACTCGTTCCCATTGCGATAAATGTGCCGAATAGAATGAACAACATATTCGAAAAACTAATATGCACATCAAAACCGCATATATCTCAAAGCAAATAAATAATGAAATCATTCATTTACTAAGAAAACAAAAATATTTGTGCATTTGTTGTTAGTCAAAAACAAATCTACTATTTTTAGCAGCAGTCTGTCCATTGTTCGCATGTTATTGCCTTCAGGGGAATTCCAAATACATCATCGACAATGTATCACAAAATGACTTAAAAGAAAACAAGACAATAGTATTTTTCAAGCTATTTTATCCGATTTATTGTATTTTGGAAATTCGTATTTTTTTTAAATATTTTTATCACAAAGTAAAATTTTTATATTAAATTTTTCAAAACTTAACAACAGTGCCTTGGAAAATTGGTATAAAGTCCTCATTAATAATTGCATAATAGAATGGGTGGTTGGCTGTAAAGAAAGCGGGTAGCGATCGAGCAGTTGCAACAATACCTAGAAATAAATAATAAAATATATTTATATTAATAAACAAATTAATTATATTTTTATTTAATTTCCACTTACTTGTTGCACCACTTGCTTCGGTACCATATTCTGTGACCGATATAAAAGCCTTATGTACCGCACTTGAGATATACAAGGGTTCCGGGGATTTCTTCATTTTTGTGAAATCGGCGCGGCCAAACATTTGTTTCATACCCATCTGTAATGAAGATATGTTGTATTAAGAAATTCACTTTCCATTTATGTTTAACTCACATTCATTAACGGCTCCAGTAAATTAATTTCGAATTCTGCCTCAAATTTCGGCATCAGCACTTCAACATGTTGTTTGGACATACGTGGTTGCAGCGACTTTAGCGATACCGTTCTCAACTTCTCCTCCAACGAGTTCAAACCCGTCTTTGCGTTTGGTAATAAAATAATCATTGACAAATCGGAATTTTTATACGGCATGCGTACAACGCTACAATCCAAATCCATCAATTCAGAATAATCAAAATAATCCTCTGCCACCATCATTGGTACCTTAACACTTGTCTTATCATCAACGAAAAAATCTTGATCACTTGTATATTCCTCATCGAAATGCGTCCGCCATTCACCCTTAAAATGTATGGCACTAACCAACACCAAGTGGGTATCAATACCCAAAACCGATGGCGAGATTAGATTATGGATTTTATTATCAGTTTTCGATTCAACCCATTTATTAATGATGTCTGCTGCCTCTTTGGTACGTTCAAAATCAACAAATTCCGGCGAGGAGAAGAATTTTTCCGTAAGAGCATTTTTGAAATCATCCTGCAGTAGAGTGTGCTCCTTTACATAGACTTTATTGGCAATTTTCAGCATTTTGCCATCTTCATATTTTGCCAATAGGGTGTGATAATTTTCAGCAACATCTTCTGGTTTTTGTCCTGTGAATTTTAGGCCTTGATCCATTTCAGTGGCTGTCTGGCCATTGGCACCCATTCGGGTCATGGCCAGGCAACTATGTAT